ATATAACCAGAAAAGGACATCATGAAGGTGGAAATGGCAGTTTGAAAAATTGTGTGATGCATATTCCCTGCTATAAATGATCATGGTCACTTTATTCTTGTCTACATTTGCTTTATTTTAAGTAATTTATTTTATGCTGCTGAGAATATACTAGGGGCTTAAAAGAGTTGGTAGAAAAAAGGAATGAAACAATAGAGGAATTTTCCATGAATGTTTTGAAGCCTCCTTGACACCAAACCCAATGTCATCAAGTCATTTCCCACTCATAGCGGCCCTGGAGGACATGGTCGAACTGCCCTTGCGGGTTTCGGAGACTCATCCCCGCTTTGCCACGTATAATTCAGGACACTGAGTATGCTCGATGAGCTTTGCAAGCATCCCTCCTTTTCTTTCCTGAATTGTGCTCCCCACCACTCTGTATTAAAATAAACTCCCTGCTCCCTCCATCCCTGCCCAGGTTTTCTCTCTAATATGTCTAGTTGCTATTGTCAATGTGATCCCATACAGAGAACTCGTGAAAGAGCAAGCTGCTGAAGGCCAACATGGGTTACTAACTTAGATAAACTGTTGGTTGAGTTTCAGGATATCTGTTTAGTTGAAGGGTTAAAGAGTATGTTAAGGGAGCTTTCCTGGATATTTTGAAATAAATATATGTGGGGTACCCCCCCCCCAAACCCCAGATTTTTTTTCAAAGCTATGTATTTAATTTTTTTTTTTACAAAACAACCTTATCATCATCAAAGGACCCATTACACTCAATACATTTATCAAATCTACAATTCCATTCTTAGAAACATTTTTCAAACTCATCTGTTTGGATAGCTGACAGCACTTCCTCGTGTTTTTTTCTTCACTTCTTCTACCTAGTAAAATCACTGTCCTTTCAAGTCCCTCTTCACTCTCGGAAATAAAAAGAAGTCCCACCGAGTGAGGTCAGGTGAGTAAAGTGCATGGAGCAAGAAAGGCATGCTGTTTTTTGCTAAAAGCTGCCTGAGCAGGTGCCTTGTCACAGTGGCACAATCAGTCTCTTGTCTGCCACAAATCAGGCCTTTTTGGTCACATACTGTTATGCAATCTTTTCAGAACCTCTAAATAGAAAGCTTGATTAACAATCTGACCTGGTAGAATGAACTCCAAATCCCTCTATCACAGCGGTTCTCAACCTGGGGGTCGAATGACCCTTTCACAGGGATTATAGTTATGAAGTAGCAGCAAAAATAATATTATGGCTGGGGGTTCACCACAACATGAGGAATTGTATTAAAGGGTCACAGCATTAGGAAGGTTGAGAACTACTGCTTTATTGTTTTGATCTTTGATATTACTTGATGAGCTTTTTGGGGACAAGGTGATGATCGTGTCTTCCACTGGCTTGCGTGATGTGTGCTTTTGGATTCATAAAAATAGCACCATGTCTTATCACCAATAATGGCCTTGGGAAAAGTCCAGGTCACTTCAGAGCTGTTCTTTCAAACCATGCTTTGTTTCAACTTGACACTCTTTTTCCTGGTCA